AAAAAAAAAAAAAATATCAAATATTGACTTATAACCATATTTATAACCAAATTAAATATATTACATTAATACAACACAATATTAAATCACAAATACGAGACGAGAACGATATACTTATGTTCATGCGATTAGTTATTAGTTTTATTTAACTTGTAAATGTTAATTCTATAAAATGCTCCCAATGCTATTTTGCAGAAATGTTAGATATTTATTTAGATATATTATACAAGCGGGAGATGCTACAATTCCGTTACGAAACCATTCTGTCGGGGTTTGTAACCATTAGATCAACTATCTGTGATGGTTACATGATGATCTAATGGTTACAAACCCCCACATAATAGTCCCGTAACGGGACCTTAGCATTTCCCTATACATGCATCGAACTCAAAGTCAAAGCAACTGAAAAGAAAAAAATAAAAAATAGAACGTAAAATAAATTGACTGACTTATAATACAACTTAATTAATTATGCCTTCATCTATCTTTCTGTAATTATACATTTAGCAGAAAAGCAAACTTATATCCGTTTCAATATTTTTACCCCGCCACCAAAACTATAAATTAACTTGCAAAATAGTACTAAAACTTTTTTTTTATATCACTTGGGCCCCCAATCCAGAATCCAGTTCGAATTCAAAAATGCCGAATTGATTTCACGTGTGGGCCCCCACTAAATTTCAGTCCACTGCACTGTTTGACATTGACCCCACGCGCCGCTGCCACCCGGAGCGTGATCCACGGGCAGGACCAGAAGTTTTATCAAAAACTCGGCCGTCGGGGGTGCCTACCGAGGGAAGAGATACACCTGGCTCTGCACCACAGTCCGGCCAAACTCGAACCCCGGCACAACCGTGAACGCCACCCGGCCACCGCCATCGGTAACGCCGTCCATGTACACGTCGGAAAATCTGGAACCTTTACCCACCCGAAACACTCGGACCTCCTCCTCGAACGAGAACGCCAGGCGGTGAAGGAGCCAGACCCGCCGGCAAACCTCGGCGAACGCCGCGAAGAACTCCCCCGCCGGGAAACCCCCGGAGCCTACCGTCTTCCTCCGGCTCAAGTTCCCCCAAAACGAAAATTCCATTTTAGGGTGGACCAATTTCAGGTACTTGCACCTCAGGTACTCGCCGAAGGCCGAATCAGGGTTCCGATCGAGATACTCAGCCGCCCCCACCGACCTTAGACGCCGGAAATCCTCGAAGAAGGCCCGCCGCGGGCGAGTTTCGCCGGCCGGAAATCGATTGTCACCCTCGTTCGAAAAACTGGGGCTATCGAACCCTGTAAATATCTCTCTG